CTCTCTCTCTCTCTCTCTCTCTCTCTCTCTCTCTCTCTCTCTCTCTCTCTCTCTCTCTCTCTCTCTCTCTCTCTCTCTCTCTCCCGGTCTTCTTCTTCGTCATGGTCTTCTCTGCAGGTGCGCGGCGGCTTCTCCAACCTTCCAGTCTGCTATGGCGGACTTCTTCTGGCGGCCACCTCAGCTATGGTGCATCAGGCCCTGTACACGACGGCGGGCATGGAATAGCGGGTACCAGCTGCAGACCTCCTTGCACAAGTCGCTGTGGCAGCGCTTCCGCATGGCTCACGCAGGAATGAATGAATGGCTGGGCGCTGCCTCTTGATTTATACTTCTGAAACTCGTTGGTCTGCCCTTTCCCATCGGCCCATGGTGCTCACAGTCCCTTGTGGTACTTGCTGGACCGGACTGGGACTGACTGGACCTTACCGCTGACTGAATGGGGACTCACTGCTAACCTACCGAGATCGTACTGCAATTGCACTGCAGTTAGTCCACCACTTGACTCACCACTTGCCCACTTGCCCACTTGCTGACCTTCTAGAAGGGCTACAGCTAAGACTTGGAAGTCGGTAAGACTTCTATTCTACAGATCTACAGATCGAACCCCTGCTACCTACGGACCTATGACAGCCTACCAACTGTTTACGAATACACAGGTCACAGGTTCAACTCTCGGGGCCTACACAGGTACTGTACACAGGTAGGGGAAGGTCTAGGGATCGAGCCCTGGGATATGCATCTGCTACTGCAAAGAGGTGAAAACCGTTTCAATAGAAAGAAAGTGAAAAAGAAAACGAAAAACGATCTTTTTGCAAAGTAGCAATCACGAATTTCGGAATTTCCGATTTCTTTGCAATGAAAAAAAAATCTGAGAAATAGGAAATTCACAGGGATTTGAGATGGACAAAAGAAAATTACAAAAAACCGAACTTTCGCGTAGTTAACCCAAATTTCGGGAGTCACTTAGTTGACTGCAGGCAAGAAGGGCAAACTCCGTAGGCAACCCAAATTTAGGTAATCAGGTCTAAATCTCCACTGCTTGTTAGGGTAGTGCGAGGACTGAGCCCTTGCTAGGCCTTTCTGGCCTCGGCACCCGACTGCCCACAGGGCCGCAGCAAGCCTTGTGCCCGCCCTAAGTGAAGGCGGTCCTGCATTTTGCAATGAGGCCTTATTTTGTCCTTTCTGCATTGAGGTGCTCCAGACAGTTTCCACACGCCAGTTGGTTACAGCGCCACGCCTGTGTGTGCACGACATGCTGAGCCTCAAGGCTCCTTCCAGCGGCAACATCACCACAAGCTCTCGGCCAATGAGAAGCGAGCGAGCGTTGTGGCTGGAGACCCGTATGCCAATGAGAATGCAGCCACGTCGCACAGTTGGGCAGCTTTACTGCTCTCAGGCAACTGTCTAAGAGGGCCTGGGCGCGGACACTTTGGCCCAACGTGAAGCTACTGGGCGCACACACACCAGACCCAGAGGGCCTGGCTCACTTTCAGTAAAGGAAAGTGAGTGTCCAGCCAGGCACACCTTCTGGCATTGCACAAGCGGGCGGCCACGCTGCTGCATTGGGTGTACGCTGCCTGGGTGCTGTGAGGTGAGAGGGGCACTCCAGTGGCAGTGGGCGCAAGCGGTCATAGCCGGTCCTGCTTGCACAGATGCTGTTACAGGTGATGGTGGTCTTCGGAAAGAGGGTGCATGCTGTGGGGAGACGGGGGTGAGGAGAGGAGAAGAGATATATACCTGGTGTATGCTGGCAGTCCGCATTGTCGACTTCTTCACATACATACATTGGTCTTCAGCTTGAAGTAATCATGTTGCATATACGTAGTGGTAGGCTAGGTAGCTGCTGAGTAGGATAGGCTGGGTGCTGAGCGCCAATCAAGAAGGGTGACATTGTATACTATGTTGGCGTGGCGAGAGAGTGTCGACATTGACATTGGAGTTCATTGCATTGCCCGTATTTGGCTTGTATCTAAGTGCATTGTGCTTTCTGTGTGGTACACAACTATCTGGTCTTCAGCATGATATTGCAATCTGGCTTTGTGCATATCGTTCTCACTCATTTTCCTTGCAATTTGGTATCGGAGCTGGTTCAGATATCGCCACACTGGTGTTGGTGTCTTGGTTACTTGGTGAGCTGACGAAGCTTCTACGCAGTTGGGATACTTTGATGCTGGCTGATTGGCTCCCTCCCGGGTTGAGGGGAGTGGGACCGGAAGGCTGTGGCGACAGCAGGTGTATGTGGAATGATGAGGGCATGCTGACGTGGCATTTTGGCTGAGGTGGCATTGCATTGAATTGTGTGTGGTACAGAGGCTATGACCAGTCATCAAAATGCAACTCGGTCGGACACATGCTGCGGCAGGTCCCAGTGCAATGACTTGCTGATTTCTGCTGCCGAGATCGACTGCGAGGCTGTACACTAACCTAGAGGGTTAGATTCGTAATTTTGTTTGGCTGAGGGCTAACCGAGAGACCTGCCTGTGAGGAAATTCGTGAGGGACAGATCTGCAATTCCGGGAAAATACAGGCCCGGTACTAACCCGAATTCCTACAGCTACCCTAACTGCCTATAGCAGGCCCGGGCTACCCCTAGGACAGACAGGCCCTAAGTGGCCTATTCTGCTAGACGGTCCTATAGCCTATAGCCGGGTCCGGTAGAGGCCGAGAGGCCGAAACAGCAACGGTACCGGTCAGTCAGTCAGTCCGGTCTAGGTCTAGGTTAGAGTAGGAAGTCTATAAGGAGTTTAGGAAAATCGGTTGGGGACTTTTGGCTTTTCATTTTTCGCGTGCAGCGTTCGGGGCCAACCAAGTTGTGCAGCGCTGAAAGTCTACAGCGGCACCTGAGACTTGAGCTACTTGAGGCAGCTGTAGCCGGGCTTCCTGAGACAGCCATAGCTGGAGCTGGTCTCAGCTCATCTACCCTCTGGGGGTATCTGCGCTCGGGAGGGCCATTCAGAGGCTCTTTGCTGGGTACATGTGGGCGCTGCTGCTACGGTAGCAGCCTGGCA